TGTTTCATTTTTGAGCACTTCCACTAATGTTTCGTTTTTGAGGACTTTTTATCATGCTATAAATCTTGACTGATTATCAACTATCCTAACTTGTGTTCAATGGCAGATTTCTAGCAGAAAAACAAATATTTACTTCATCATCATAATAATTATCAAAATGTTTGCTAATTTTGAAAACAACAACAATTAATAGTTACTATTGGTGAGCCAACCCTAGAGTGGAGAATCCTCAAAACAAAATCCATAACTAAAGCAAAATCTAAAATCTGATGTTTTCAAAATATATGAGGCAAACCCTCAAATATATCACAATGAGGGAGGCGTGTATTTCACCAACATCCTCGTAAAAAACCAATTGCAAGATTGGTAACAATAAATGGCTAGAGTTGAGGATCCTCCAAAGTTAAATAGCACATTTAAAGCAAAATCTAATAGATGTTTATAACGCATAGGGGGCAAACTCTGTAAAAGTACAATGAGGGAACCGTGTGTTTCATAAACATCCTCGTAAAAATCCAATTGGAAGTAGGGTATGAAAATCTATGAAATAGGGGTCCTATCAATCGCTGAAACTATTTGAGAGCAGGATGCAAAATCTTGAATTATCCTTCAACTTTACAATAAACATACAAAGATCCTCTAAATCAATCAAATTATAACGAAACAAAGGCCAAAGAAGAAATGTCTTTCATTCAAATCGTGGTGTCAAAACGTCTCGCAAATGCCCTGAAAAAAAGAGAAATAATGGCTATTAAATTTCAGCGCTAGTGTACGCGTAGAAACAATTCATTAAAGCATGTTTCCATGTCGAAATGGAAATGGCTGGAAAAATTGCTTAGCAGTTGTAAAATTGGTCTAAAAGCGGTAGAAAAACACGTACAAAAAAGGAGCAGAATGATTATTTTGACAAAAAGGGGCAGCTTCCAATCCATGAAAATATCGCAAAAGCAATCAATCAACTGTGAGGGGTTAGGGGAGGCGTAACTTCACCGGCATTTGCAATAGATGGAAAAATGTATTGAAAAAGTTATTAAATTTCTATACCACGATGAGGGCAACATGAAGTTTACAAAAACTCTACTAAATCTTGTCACTAAGGGTGTAGCATGAATATTTAAACAAAAAGGGGCAGCAAAAATTCTTAGAAAATATCGCGAAAGCAATCAATCAATCGCAAGGGTTAGGAGGAGGCGTAATTTCACCGGCATTCGCAACAGACAAAAAACTGCATTGAAAAATTTAATTTTTCTAAATAAACACTTGGCTTTTCGTTAAGAATTCATTCAACGTATTTATATAAAGAAACGCGAAACAAAATTTGAGTATAAACAAAGTAAAACACCAAGAGATCTTCTATATCAAAAATCGCTTACCGTGTGATGAAGCTGGGTGAGAATATGTTTACAATACTTTGGTCAATCTGCCACGGGAATGTCCTGCAAAAAATCCAAGAATAACCGAAATGAAAACTGTGACGCAGCAAGTTTACCAAAATCAAATGTCGACATCGAAGATCAAGATTCCTAATCGATGCGTCACTAATGATCGTTAACGATCCGCACTCACAAAAAGTTTCCCCAATAACGACCTTGCAGACAATGGGGTCACATCACAAAGGGGGCGTAGCTTGATCGTCGTTCGCAACTCGTCAGGCAAAACTGTCCTATAAAGTTTGAATTTCCTGAATCTAGGCGTTACAATTCGCTGAGAATTCGTTGCACAAATTGATAAATAATAAAATACCTCTATCTTGAAACGTAGATAAACAAAAGGGCCTGAAAATAACCCCGAAAACAAAATCGCGAATGCAATCAATCAATCGCGAAGGGATTAGGGGGGCGTAACTTCACCGGCTTTCGCAACACATGAAAAACTTTATTGAAAAATTTAATTTTCTTAAATGAACACTTGGCATTTCGTTTAGAATTCATTCAGCATATTTATCTAAAAAACGGCGAAAAAAATTTGAGTATAAACGAAGTAAAACACGAAGAGATCTTTGATATCAAAAATCGCTTACCGTGTGATGAAGCTGGATGAGAATATCTTTTACAATACTTTGGTCAATCTGCCACGGGAATGTCCTGCAAAAAATCCAAGAATAACCGATATGAAAACTGTGACGCAGCAAGTTTACCAAAATCAAATGTCGACATCGAAGATTAAGGTTCCTAATCGATGCGTCACTAATGATCCGCACTCACGAAAAGTTTCCCCAATAACGACCTTGCAGACAATGGGGTCACATCACAAAGGGGGCGTAGCTTGATCGTCGTTCGCAACTCGTCAGGCAAAACTGTCCTATAAAGTTTGAATTTCCTGAATCTAGGCGTCACAATTCGCTGAGAATTCGTTGCACAAATTGATAAATAATAAAATATAAAATACCTCTATTTTGAAACGTAGATAAACGAAAAGGGATGAAAATAACCCCGAAAACAAACGCACTAACCTGATGAATATTCAATTTGGGAAAGGTATTCAAATCGTGTTCTCGACACTGTCCTGCAAAAACAGCAGAAGAACAGACGGTAAATTCAATGTTGTAGCTAATAAAAGAGCAACAGAAACATAGTATTCAATAAAGGGGCGACTATTAAATATTTCGCGGCAGGGGCAGGGCGTTTTGTTAGAAAAATGGCAAGGCAAGGTGCAGAAACATAAGCGAAAAGAATAAACAATACTCACACTGAAAATTGCGTCCAAAATCGAGGGTCCATTGTGAGAAACATGTCGACTTCTTTTTCCAAACCTTTCTTTCCAACCGTGTGCTCTAAAATGCACCTGGCTGGAAAATGATCTTTGCGACAATTTATCATGCTTTTATCCAGTTGAGACTGTTCTGACACAAATTGCACGGTCATTTATCAATCGATCCCCCATAAAAGGGAATTTTTCAGTTACCGGGAAAAAAACTGTCCCTGCAACAATGCAAATCGCTACGTCATCGGAACGTATCGCCAAAAGATCATGATAACCATGAGAGTGCCTAGTAGTTTAAGCAACAACAATGAGATAATCATGACAATCATAACTTTTGCTCGTACGGTCTCGAGCTTTTGGGAGAAAGGTGTCGCAAGCGAGCTGTTTCGATTCCAAAAAAACCTCGAATCAAAACTTCCATCCAGAAGGGAGAACCGAGCTGTGACGCAGCAAGGTTTTCTTGCAAAGGAAATCGAAGCTCGCAGAAACTTGAGGATCCCGCACTTAATTGCTTCTCCGCACAAAGAGGTGGCGGTTAACGACCTCGCTGACAAAGCCTAACACGCTTAACGACCCGACGTAACCTTTTCTCCGGAGAGGCAATCAGGTCCGCAAGCAAAGCAACTTCCGCCTAGAAAAAGTTTGTTTCGAGGATTTTCAGGCAGGAAGACGGGACCGAATCGAAAATCGAAGGCCAGCTGCAGACTCACGTCGACGGACGGGATCGAACGGAGGAAAGAGCGGGACGTTTCGAGGAGGCCTCGAAACCGATCTCGTTCGAAGAGGCGTCGAGTGGGTGAGACCGTGTGCAGACGTGCTTGCCCCTCATTTGCATAGTAGCACATTCGTTGTTTCGAAGCTAATTTGCATAGTAGGATTTTAGTATATTGAGATTAAATAACCCTTGTGCCTCTCCGGCCTTTTGGCTGCTCTGCATATTTCTAAATAGAATCTCCTTCGTAGAGGCTTTTCTCAGCCCCGAAGCGCTGGTACCAGCAATCACTAAATAACAGGAATAAAAAACAGATGTGTGTAATATAAACTGATTATTTTAAGATACCGTAATCGTTCGAATAAGCGCCCCTCTCAAGTAAGCACCCCCCTCAAAAGCAGAACAATTAAATAAGCGCCCGGGTGCTTACTCGAACGATTACGGTATAGTCTAAATTACTATGACTAGTGGTCTCTTACGTGCTCAACAATATTTTGTATTTGATGTCTTTGAATCCAGGGGCGGTCTGGCCCGGGTGGCAAAGTGGCGATCGCCACCTGGGCCCTGTGTAAAGAACATTTACGGGCCCTTCCCGCTTTGGAAAAATCTTTTTAACTTAATGTAAAAGACTTAATGCCCTAGACTGAGTACTTTGCGATTAAAGTCCCAATACAAGCACTTCAAACCACCCAAACCCTGGTTTCCGTTATTTCAGCCATGTGTTCAACCTGACCTGTACCGTGGGTACCACAACATTTCCAGCTCGTAAACATAATAGAAAGTAGAGTCTGGTACCTAGGGTATCTGACCTGGAATGGACAAAAATTGCTTGATTAAAAACATCCATGTTTTAGCTATGAATTGATATAAGTCACATTTTTAATCCATGTTTTGATAATATGAAACAGCAAATATCAGAGACAGTGCTGGCGGGGGTGTTGACGGTTGCCCGTTGTATTTATTCCCATTTAGTACACTGTTATACAGGATATAAATCTTAGGTTACAATTGTTTGGGGGGGGGGGCTCCAATGTGTAAAGATAATGTAAAATTCAAAACCGGAAAGTTAGAAAAGAGAGAAGAAGGAGTCGCCACTACCATCTGGTTACAGCCTCGATCTCAGATGGGAGAAGATTGACAGAAGGTTCTCGAAGATGGGAGAACTCAGATGGGAGAAGATTGACAGAAGGTTCTCGAAGAAAAGAGATCTGTATCAGGATTTAGCAATGCTAGAGCCATGATACAGGAGAGCAAAGAGCCTTCTTTTCAAGAATTCTCGTTTAGCGAATGTCAGCTTGGAAATGCTCAGGAAAGAACTGCTGGCATTTGCAACTTGCTACCAGCAGCATATCGCTCAAATAAAAACAACAATTAGTGCAAATGGAGATTCAGAAAAAAGAAGATGATTTCAAGGAACAAGCTCTTAGAGAAGAAACATATGAAGAAGAACATTGTGACTTTCAAGGTGGAGATTTGCAAAGAGAGAAAGGACGAAAGATTGACATCGACACCCTGTTTAAAAAGGGTAGAAGCTTGCCAACTGTGCATACCATGCGCATTCAAAACTTTGTTCCTACGCTCTATTTATTTATAAAAACAATTTTATAAGGAAACGAACATCAAAATTGGTCGAAGTTGAGAAAAAAACAAGCTAAGACTGAGCTACTGTAAAATGCAATTTTGAGCAACATTATATCCCAAAAACGATGTTTTTAGCCATGTGTGGGTGCTTTTCGGCGAATATTTAATCTTGTCGTCAAATGAAGCCTGTCACACTCACTTTGCTAGCTAGCTATCGTACTGCTTATACCCTAATAATTTAAGAACAAACTAAGAACAATTCAGCTTCAGATTTTTGCAAAAATTAAGGACAGTCAGCCTGAACCCAAATTCACTGGTTCTTATAAAAAAAGAGTGAATACAACATGCACGTAGCAGCATACTCTTTCCTCTACAATGCGTATAAATGTGTGATGACACTTAGCTGTACCCAAGTTTTCTGTGAAAGATTATTCAGCCAGCTTAATATTGTTGCACAGCCTAAAGAAAAGGCTGCGCTCCACTATCAATCAACCAACTGCTATTGCTATTGATAATTTCAAGCAAAGAGACAAGTCATTGACCAATTTGCTGATTCATCTGAACTTCTTCGAGAAGAGTTAAAACTCTGAAAGCTTAAATAAATTTTGATCTTGATTCTTAATTCTACATGAGTTTTACACGAGAGGAAATGTGTGGATTCAAATGGGTCCGAATTTACGAATTAAAATCGATATAATGCTGCTGTTTAGCACATTATTTTATTATCAATTTCTATGGAATTAGCCATATTTTAAGGCTGCTTTTTTAGTAGGTGTGGCTCAATTTTTTCCGCCACGCCTTAAACCGGGCCCTTTGACTTTGCTTGCCACCCTGTGATTTTGACGTCAGACCGCCCCTGTTTGGATCTTACCCAGGGACGTCTACCCTGGGGGGACTGTAGGCAGGGCTGTATAAGAGGGGGCTGGGGTCCAGGTCTCTTCTACTTTTCGAAGGGGGCTGCGCCCCTCCTCTTTTTTCTTGGTAAACGAAACGAAAATTTCTTTTTCAGAAGACGATAACAAAAATCAACGGCGTCGTATAAGATACTGAATATTTTGCACATCATCAGAACGAGGATGTTACGCTTAGTTTATGCATTAACATAAAATAGACCAGGCCCGATGTGGGCCTCAGCAGACCTGGTTATGTTTTAATATTTCTAAAAAGTAGCTTTTTGGCATTTGGAATCAAAGAAACTTTCAAGCAACTTTATAAACTGAATTCAACCTAGAAAAATTTAGAAACTGAGTTACAAAGCATTGAAATTGGAAATGTGACCTGACTATTTGCAACTGAATGTGAGAGGAAACAAGCGAGAACTGAAATCAAATGGCAACAAAACGCTAGAAATATCAAAGAGAGAGAGCAGAACTTTTCGAGATAATGCTGCTAGACTATTCAACTCTCTGCCAGAGACAATGAGAAACTGTTCAAACTATAACACATTTTCATCTTGTCAAACAAATTTTTAGTTAACAGAGATATTATTATTACTATCAAATTCTCCTAAACCACTTCTCTAGATGGTGCTCTTGGGCAAACATGCATATTCGGGTTGACAAGTGCTCAACATTTGGAATTAAAAATCATCTACTTCATCTGTTCAGTTTCTACCCAAACTTATTGTCAATAAAAACATAGTTCCCACTGTTGAAAAAGACAAATCTTTTAAATATCTTGGTAGATACTTCAATTTTCCTATGGATAATAGTGATCATATGTCAGAACTATTGGAAACTGTCAACTCGTTAATGTCCAGTATCGACAAATTGTCGTGTCATCCAAAGAACAAAATTCTGTTATACCACCGATATGTGCTATCCAAAATTTCCTGGAACCTGACCATCGCTGATTTAAGCAAGACATGGGTGACAGAAAATCTAGACAATGTTGTTTCAAGCTTTGTTAGACAATGGCTCGAGCTGCCAATAAGTGCTTCACTAAGTAGCCTCGTCATTCCAAAATCGAGGTTTGGCATCAATCTCATTCTTCCATCTACCAAGTTCTTACAATGCCAAACAGTTATCCGCAACTCTTTAAGACTGTCCCCAAACCAAGAGATTCGCTCTTTATGGAAAGACTCTAGCACTGGTACAAACATACCATATGACGTTTATCGCAACACCAAACAAGTTCTCAAATCCATCCAAAGTGAACACGAAAACCGCATTGAAAACGTTCTTACATCTCAAGGATTTATTATCTCGTGCATCTTATAATTTGCTTCTAAGGGAACTAATCAACTTTGGTCTAGTGTCCAGCAAAAGTTACCAAAAAACATTTACAACTTTACCATCAAATACCCCTAAACAACACTCTTGCCACTAGGTAAAACCTCTGCAAATGGTCAATTACTCAGTCATCTGCCTGCTCTTTCTGTCTCCAATCAGAATCATTACAGCACATAGTCTCTAGCTGCAAGAATTATCTTGAACATGGTAGGTATACCTGGAGACATGATTCTGTACTTCTATATTTGGCTAAAATCCTTTCAACACCTAGAAACAGTTCACTTTACGCCGACCTGCCTTCATTTCTATCACATTCTTTAATCACAGGCGACTCCTATCGACCAGATCTTGTCTTCGTAACTGAAGATCGAATCCTTTACATGCTAGAGCTTACTGTTGGGTTCGAAAGCAACATCGACGAAAACAGTACTCGAAAAGCTAGGAAATATAGCGACCTTATCAAGGAACTGAGCCCTGCCTATAAACGTGTTACCTTTGTTAACCTTTCTATGAGTGCCCTTGGCATTCTGGGAACCTCATCTACCTCTCTCTCTGACATGCTACACCAACTTAATTTTGACTCAAATCAAACTAAATCCATCTTGATGAAACTCATGAACATTTCTATCCGCTGCACCTACTATATCTTCTGTCGTTGAAACAAACCATGGCTAAGCCCCGAACTAATTGACTTTTAAATATTTTAATGCAGATAAGCCAATTATATGATGCCTGTAAAAGCGAGTTGTATAATTGTTAATTTAAAATGTACTCAATGAAAATGAGATGTTTAAAAAAATTATTATTATTATTATTATTATTATTATTGTCCCTCACGTCCATCACAGATAAAGTTCTCTGGAATATTCTGATGCCATATTCATAACAACAAGGAAAAACCTTCATAAATGGTCATTATTCCAAGCATCTGCTTGCTCTTTCTGTCTGCAAGGTGAAACATTACTACTTATTGTTTCAAGCCTTTAAGTCCTACCTTGAACATGGCAGATTTACTTGGAGGCATAACTCGGTTCATTGTCTATTATGTCCTGCTAAGCATTTTCATCTTTACCACAATGTTCTCTATACGTCGATCTGTCAACTTTCTCTTCACCCGCATTAATTACAGGAGATTCATTGTGGCCTGATCTTGTCTTAATTGTTAACAATAGCATTCTCTATCTTCTCAAGTTAACTGTTGTATTTCAGAGCAACTTAAAAGTCAACAGCAACCGCGAAGCACAAAAGTTTAAGTCTCTCATCCACTCCCTGTCACTTTGTCAATGTGTCGATGGAAGTCCTTGGCATTCTTTCTTCTTCCTCCTCTGATTCGCTCTCTAACATGCTAAAAGACCTATATTTTAACAAAACTATACAGCACCGGCTTCTATCAAAAGTCATAAACATAGCAAGCAATACGCTGTACTTATTACGTATTCTGTAAAGGAAATAAACTTTGGCCTGCTCCCGATTCAATGGACTTCTTAAGTGTTCTCATTGTAATGTTTATTCTAACTATCATTTTTAAGTTTCATCTTGTCATTCGAAAGATAAGTCGCCAAATGTACACTGCCTAATAAAAGTTAGGTGTAGAATTGTATGTATCTAATGATATATTGAATGAAAAGAGATTGCATCATTATTTATAGCTTAGTTTCTTATAAAAAAACAAGTATATAGCTAGCTGGCTAGAAAGCAATAGAAAGATAAGCAACTACTCGAGGATATGTTTCACTTCAGCATCAAGAGCTTCGGCTCTCAATGAAGGTTGTTTTTCAAGTAGAAAATAAATTGCTTTTGCCTTTCTACTTGTAATCTAATTTTTTGTTGGATAAAAGATTCTATGTTAATTTTTTCCAAACGAAGATTTGCAGATTACAGTATGAAATAAGCCAGCAGGCAGAGCTGCCAAGTTTTTGGGGCTGTAGGTGATTTGTTGCTCCACAGCCTTTGAATATTGCATAGCCAAACGTTGAAAAGGCAAAACCTAAGTTTAAAAGGGCAGTAATTGAAGATGATGTTACGTGGGATCAACGAGTCGATCCTATAAGATGAAGTCATTTGAGGATAACTTCTTTAAAGAGAACATTTTGGTGACTTGGGTCAACAGCTTTCAAATTTCTCTCCTCTAACTTCTGATGTTCCCAGGGCCTATTCTGATTTTTATTCTGTTCAATGATTTTAAGACGGCACAGTGACATATATGCTATTAAAATTTATCAATGATACTGAAGACAAATTAAGCAAATATACTTTTATATTTTCTACGTACAACTACTGCCAAAGTATCGGAACAGGAACAAAACTTTTTGCAGTTGAAAATTAGCCGTCCCCATTTTTTTCCAAGCAATGTTGGATTTTTCTCCATAGAAATGCACAATTTGAGGGAAACCTGTATTTTAGAAACTTGGGTGGCTAAGTCTATTTCCAACATTGTTTTAGAGGAAACGGGACAACTCGATCAGCTGTTCTATAGGTGTGCAGATGTGGCTCCAGAAGATGATTTGACCGTTGTAGATTTGCAAAAGAAAAAAAGCGGTAGTCAAGGGTGTTGCCTGCAACCAGCACCACGCCATATCTTGCTGGAAATAGCCAGGTTAAATATCATAAAGAACTAAAAACAGAGTTATATTAACTGACAGTAGCATGAGCAAAATATCACATCAATATAATAGGTTTCCTACATCATGGATGCAGGGTTAAAAACAGCTTAAAGTGAAAAACAACGAAGAGTTGTTGAACACCTTGTAAGAGAAATTAAGACAAATGCATATGCTCTATTGTGTTGGCAATTTGCTTTCGTCATAAGAATTTGAATTTTGCATCATTACAGTTAACGTTGCTGAACAGCAGCATAAGGCAATTGCCTCGGGAATGAAAAACAGTGAACAGTTGTTGAACACCTTGTATGCAGTGCCTAAAGTAAGAAATTTCTACAGGTCAACGTATTTGAACGGGCGTGGGGGCTACAGGACGTGGGGGCTACAGGGCGTGGGGACAACAGGAACATTGCGATCTTTAAAGATTTATCTTACCTGTTTCATTCATATTCAAGCATTTTGAGAAGTCTGGGAAAATGACATTCTTGACGTGCGAATGATGCGAACACCTAGATCCGTCCCTGGTCATGGGGGTAAGGGAGCTTCAGCACCCCCAATATTTTCCAAAATGTACTTAAAACCATACAAAAAGTCGCCCTGCTCTTGGCATTAATCATGTTTAGCCCCTACCAAACGTTTAAGTCCCCTGGTCTGCAGTATTGTCCGCGGTCCTTTAACCATGTACATATATATAAACTGTTGACTTGCAATACGATTCTCATAAAGCTTTTACCCTAAAGCATATTAAAATAATTCTGGATAACTCTGTACCCAGAGCTTTGCTTAACTGCACCCTTTGAACTCATGGGCCTATTTTCCTTGCCTCGTAGATAAGCCTGAAAATCAAATATGGCTTTGGAATGTTGCTTCAGTCTTTCGATGTAGATCGTCATAAACTAAACAGTACCTGCTACTCAGCGAAAAAACAAAGTCTCGGGAATTTGTAAGGGTTATTTTACGGATTTTCCAGCAGCTGAGTTGGTTCAAGACAGCAATAAATCGACTGCAATTATCCAAATATTTAATAACGTCTAGTTTATCAGCATAGTAGACGTTTTTCTCGAATCTCAAATCTATTAGAAAAACAAAAAACTCAAGATCTGATAGACGTCTCTGGTTTCTTGTAATAACACACCCAAAATTGCTATTAAAAAAGTTGTTCTCTTTAGACCAACATCATCTTTCTTTCAAAAGTTATCGTAATTCAAGTGTGAGGAAGAACCTTTATGCTAACATAAAGTTTATAAACTCAAGGCCAAGGAACACTTGCACGCTTGTTGCCATGGACTTTTATAAACAGGTAAAACTATGACATGTTTTCCGATAAAAAAAATTTCATTGCAAAATTTATTTAGTTTATTAAGTAGCGGGCTGGCTCGCTTTACCGAGAAGAGTTTTATCTTCTGATTATATGAGGCGAGCTAGCCAGGTCAGTCGGGGGGTATGTGTTTGTTTAAAAATGTAGCTAACACGTTGATTTGATGGCACAGAGCGCAGTTAAAAGCCACTTAGAATACTGCTGATGCGCTTTATAAATGGCCCCAAAATTCATATAGCTAGCATAGCGCTTACGTGCATTTTACATGACAAGCGCCTGGCGGTCTCTAAACGCCCTCAAAGGCCTCTAAACACCATCAAACGCCTCTAAACGGACTCAAACGCCACCAAGCGTCGGGCGGTCTTCTGTACACATCTCAACAGAGGTTGAATAAAAGAAACTACTAACCTTATCATCAGTATTATGATCAAATTTATCTTAATATGACGGTCTAATATTTCAATACCAAAATGAACGACAGTAAGAATGATATTATAAATCCACACTTTCGTTATTAACATCCAGTAACAAAAATCCTTATTCTGGACATAGTCACTGAGCCCCAACAGGATATTTAACTTGCTTCTAAATTGAGTTTTTGAATAGCAAGCTACTTCAACTAGCAAAACAGAAATTTCGACTTCGCTTCGATTTTCTCACGAAACTATTGCCCTTCCTGCATGGATACATTTCCAGTTGATCGTGATCCAAATGCAAAATAAACGAGTCACATGATTACAGGTTACACGATACTGTACATCTACACGGAAAAAATGCGTGCTATTGTGTTTCCAAAAGATTTCACTCAAAAAAGGGCTCTTAAATGTTTGCATTTTCAGTCTCAGATTCACCTTAATCTTTTCACCATACTATTTTCCTTTCCATTATTTTCAACATTATCATTTTGAACCATGGTCGTCATTACAATGTTGAGTTCTTAAGCTTTAATATTATCTAAAATCATAAAATAAACAGTTAAAGTTCAAGTTTTATTAATTTACAATTGAAAGTACCATCATATCAAATGGGGTACTTGGTAGTTGACGATGACGATTTTATCAAATTAACTTGTACAGTTGCAAGGGCCAGGATGGCCTTAATCAATGCACTCCAAGACGTGGATCTGCAGAGTATCTAGATCTGGAAATGTCATGCGACATTTCGGACATGCGCGTTGCATCACCTGGTCTGACTCCTGCGGTGGCATTTCAAAACTTCCTCTCCCCGAATCATATATTCTTGAGTGGTCCATGCGGTTATCCGGGGCTTGCGCACCTCGACCATAAATTCCGGCATGAGGGTTGATATTATGATAGCCCTGTGGAACTTGTGTGAGTGGCCCATATCTTCTTTGTAGCTCGTGGAGATTATGCTTGTGAACTGATTCTACATCTTCGCGCAATCGAGTGTTTTCCAGCTTTAGTCGATGTATTTCTTCCCTCAAGACAAGGATATCACCCTGCTGTTTCTCTCTTGCTTCTCGTTCCATCCTGAAGTCTGATTCATAAACTTTCACCTGTTAAAAAGATGATGTTATGATTGGTGAAAACATATTTCAATGGAGTCAGGACTGGAGTATGTTCTTCTAAAACATCACACAGAGCCCTGTTCCCTAGCAACGATGAATCAAGTGCTTTCCAATAAAGTGGTGCCGGAAAGCTGACTGAACTACGCGTGGCACACAAACCTGCATCAATAGCAAAAAAATTCTGCAATATTTCTTTTGCAGCAACCTTAATGAAGAGATGACACCCTTTCCTTCCGTTTTGAGAGCCCTTCTTAGCGAAGTCCAGAAAAGTTGTTAAGCTTTCTCCAGACAAAAACATATCAGAGGGCAAACTTTCGTCACAAAACAATAAAAGGTGGGCGTGGCTTGGTTGTGTCATAGGAGCTTCTATTGTTTTTCGTGGACCTTCCTCCGGTTAGTGGCCGTGCCACCGTAATGTTTTCCTTACTCTGATCAAGTAGAAGCATTCTTTGCTTGGAAAATTTGGATAAAAAAAAGATTCATTCAGCAAGACAAAATGTCTGTTTTTATGCTCTGATTTCGCTCTGGGTTGGTAAAAAACATAAGTTCCTAATCACTTCAATTCAATTCAAATTTTTTTACACAATACAGGTGATATTTATGATAATAAATACGTATTCTGTGCCACCCAAATGAAGCCGGACTTATCTAGTTTTGGCCGTGCTATAAAAAGTTAGCAAAAAAGATTACTAACAAAACACTGAGATATTGAAAATACTTAGCATTTGAATACTTAAGCGATAATTCTTTTTTTGTAACAGCGAAGCCTGAAACGAAACCAACAAAAACACTCTAGTGGTGTTACTCTAGTTAGGAACTTTGGTGTTTCATTTCCTGTTAAATTGATCCCTTTATCAAACCATTTTATCTCTAAAAATTACAATATCTTCAACTTATAATGCATCCTTTACCTCTCTCGTTATCATTCTGATTTTTGCTATCGATATGCAATATTTCAAAAACCCACCTGCTCTTTATAAGCATCTAATGTCTGGACTTCATCACCGAGCCTTTGGATTTCAGCCTCTTTCTCTTTAAGTTTTTGAACAAGTTTCTTGTTTTCCTCGAATCTCTCTTCAAGAATATTTTCCAACTTGGAATGCTTCAACTTCGCAGAATTAAAAACTTCATCAAGTTCTTTCCTTCGCTCCTCTACCTTTATCAATCAAATAAAGAAGATTTTTTCAAACAGCAGTCAACTACACACATCGTGGAAAAATGAAAAAAGGGGATAAACTTGGACCTCGCTTACACGAGAGCAGATCCAAACAGGTGCGGATCAATTTTGAATTCAATACGTGGAAACGGAGTTTTAGAAGAGACCTGGTTAGAAACAGATCCAAACCGGTCTACTTACTTCAGCGATCCCACGCTGGTACAAACAACATATCAGAATGGCTTCGGATCCACGAGGTTCAACAGCAAGACCAATCCGTACCAGATTGGGCTGAGAATCATTTTGATACAGTTCACACAATTTTTGTTCGACTATGCAACCGCATTATATACCGTAAGAGTGTTCTTGCTTATTTGGCTTGTCCACACGTATCAAAAGAATCCACAATGTAAGTCCACTAGTTTTTTTAATCAATTTTCAGAGTGGGAGCTTTGGAAATAATCTGAGAATCTGATATCGTTCCACAATTTCGAACCTGGCTATGTAATCCGACGAGTAAACGCTTGCTCGAATGCTTGATTTTCGAAGGATCTGAAGACTGTGTAAGCCACAGCTAGATTTGAGCTGAAAATGCTACTTTTTGGAAATAAAGAATTTTTAATGGCCAAAGGGAATATTTGCAGAAACATTTCATGGACAAGGCCTGAGAATGAAATAATGCTTGAAGAGATATAGATGACTGGGTTTGTATCTAGATATTATCGATAACAGAAATAAAAACAAGGACATTTGTCAAATCAATGCCCTCTAAAGTCTCATTTGGCTGGTGACGTCATCAAAAAGTACCGAAGTGTGACGTCATCAAAAATATATTTTTAGAATTTCTTGAATTTGCCCACATAATCTGAAAGAACGGCATGAAATCCCTCCAAATATGCAAAATCAACTAGATATGTTGCAAATTGGGCGAGATGTGGTCAATTAAAGATTTCAAGTTTGCTAACGGATTACTGTTACTCTGGCCTGGTTCATGAAGTTATGAACCAAGAAAAAATTACAGAGGTTTGATGGGGCAAGTACCTGTCCTTATGTGGCCATATCTCAGCCAATTCGCAATACCTTTAACTGATTGTGCATATTTAGAGGTATTTCATGACGCTCTTTTAGGTTCTGGGATCTAAATTCAGAAATTCTAAAAATAGATTTTATGACGTCATCACTTCGGTACTCTCTGATTCAATGCTACTTAAATAGAGAAATATTTCGACAAGACAAACAAGTAAATACAAGACATTAGTTGATGGAGTAACTGATCGGCCACAGAGCTTTTGTAATCGTTATCGGTTAGCGTAGGTGAATAGATTTAGGCCTTTGTTTTGAGCAATTTCTCTGGTGTTATGTTTAATGACACGCAGCTTAAATAAAAATCACAATCAAGCTGTTATAAAATTATAAACAGCCATATGATAACTATGAGACACATTATCAGTGCACAGTAATACAAATGCTATAACTGAGTTCGGTGAACTGTTGGGTATAGCACGTAGGAAAAACAATCATTAAATAACGAGTACAATCACAGTCACAAAATGAAGAAAGTGAAGTTTCTTCTTTAAAAACTTTGTAAACAGCAAAACCGTCGTAAATAAAGACAACAGTTGCTGCTTTGATTAGCAATAGAACCTAGCATGCCAATGGTTTCGATAAATAATACAAAAAAAATTGTTGACTGTTACTGTCCCGTTTGCCCATTATTCGACGGAGGCCGTTAAAATGTGTTCTGTTCTAGTTAATAGGAAAATTAGGAAAAAATTTCTGGCAATGAAAAGTGCGAGAACAGCTGCACATCTTCTAAGCTGCGAATTTCCAGAGTTCAGAAAACGCAAAAACCTTTCTCCAGGATGAAATCCTGTCCTATTTGTCTTATGGTTAGTTTCTTCCGTTTTGTTAGGGAAAAAGGAAAGTTAAAGTACAACGGTAAACTCCTCTCACAATATATACTCATGGCAAATTATGCATTGGCCTTCCAAAAAACTACTGCATCGTCGGATAACCTTTTCCTCCGCCTCACAGTCGTGGAACTGTAGTGTTTCCTACACTCTACAATTTTCGAATAATTGCAGCAGTAGACAGCATGGAAACTGATTTATCAAAGTAAAAAACAGAAAGATGTATCATGAAAGAATATACTAGATAAACAAAGACTCTACGTACTGAGCTAATCTGTGCAACCTTCGCTTGAAAGTTTTGCCATAACTTTGCAAAATCTTTTTTCGACTTGGCAAGACTTGCCTCCAGCACTGAAATTTTCTGCCTGTGTGGGTAAAATTGGAAATCAATCTCTCAATAGAGAAAATGTGATTACATTAGAATTTTTAACTGACACCAGTTTAAGTTGGCAATTCAAAAATTAATTATCCAAAAATGACTTTATAAATGGTTTTAAGTCAAAATTACTCTGAATAACTGAATTCAATCAGATCTATTGAACACTTGAAAAACAACTGTAGAATTTTTGTCTGTACACCTTGGTAAAAAGCATAAAACCTAATGCCTGAGTCCTCAGTACTACCTTCGGCTAAAAGAAAGTTACGAATCTGTATTGCAGTATCCCTTGCACTTCTCTACACTTACCTGAAAAATAGATGCTAGCCTACAAATACTAAGCCCTCTGGACCAAAGCAGCTTAAACATGCAATTTGAACAAAGAAAATGGTAATATGTATGTTTTACTTGACGCATAAAAAATACGCCATCTGAACAGGATATAAGGGTACCTTATTCTTAATATAAGGGTGCCAATGGAGTTACATAATAAAAGGATAATTATGTAGCTCCATTGGCACCAAAACAAAAACATAAATGGAAATACACCGATTGACTAGATAATATTTGGATTGTTCCAGAAAGTTGAAGGAGCTACTGATAAAAATCTGAAAATATCTAGAAATCCAACAGATTAACATGGAAATAATTCTGATTATAAACTCTTATTGTCCATACCAACAGAGGGTGCGATACATGACTAGGCATGCATACCCAGCTTGCTTAGCGACATTCGCTTTTTGGCTTTTGATTGCTGGTAACTAACAACAATCAGAAAATTATGATAGCTTAGCTCTTAGTGAAAATTAAGAACACATGTTGCGAGGGTAATCACTTGCTATTATAAGTGCTATTTCAATTAATTGCAAAACATTTTTCATAAGTTTCAATATAACTCTAGAAATAGTTCTTTTCAAAAGCTCTTTTTCCAAATTTTCCCCACAACGCCCGTCAACTGTGTAAATATTCCTAATTTTACCCTTATTTACCAAAAATGCAACCCCGTCATTTAAACGGCCTTTTCAAAACACTACCAAAAGCAGGCCCGGTACCTGAGTACCTAAACCGTGCATTTTTGTGTCTACCTTTATTAACCAAAGCTCAATCTTTCAAGAATTCTAAAGAAATACCATTTGGCTTATAAAATCAAAAGCAAGTCGAATTTTACCTTGCGTCATCTAACACCACAACGTATTCATTGACTTCCTGCCTGTGACCAGCCTTCAGCTCCTTTTCCACATTCTTCAGCTCCTCCTTAATGTGGAATATTATCTTCCCATCCCTCTCCTGCCTTTCTTTGAAATCTCTCTCTGATTTCATGTGGTTTTCTTGAATCGCTTCGATTTGCATCTCCAAGTTCTCTCTTCTGACAATCAAACAAGAAGTAAAAATATTATAGAGTAGTTTCCCTGTCGTTGATTGCTAGGATAAACGTGTTTTCTCAGTGCAAGAAAAATCTCCAAAAAACTATGTGAACTAACACATCTTAAGCCTTAAAACAGGTTTAAAATCCCACGAAACTGTTTGATTGCAAAACACACAAGACATAGTATAGAACAAGAAACAAAAAAAATCACTCAAAAGTATGTTTTTGTGAATGGCATTGATATTTTGGATGAAAAAAAGGCCTAATAATTAGTAAATGAATTCATTTGTCAATGACAAATAACATTTTAAAAGCTGAACATTTCAAGCCTTTTGCAAAATAGATAAAGACCATTATTCTTATGATTTAAGCACAAACTTATTAAAACTTTGTAAGTGTAGGGAATAAGCTTTCATTAAGAAAAATCAATCCACTCTCTACTATCATATGCATGTAGAAAAAATACAAAGTAGCGATAAAATCCAACAGTTTATAAATATCGTGAAACCGATGTCTCTAAATGTACTGTAATTTTCCACAACATATCATTATTTCATCAAAACCGACTAATAACAAAACAAAAGCCCCATTTATAAATATACTCAGCTGCAAAAGCCTACCTGGTTTTCTCCTCGTAGTAATTTTTTTTAAGTAATTCTTCACCTTCCGATTTGACTGCCTGCAAGTTTTCGTTCTCCTCAAGCAACTCGGCGATCTTCTTCTCTAGATCTGAACATTGGCAATCCTGAATCTTAGATTTTAACGCCGTTTTCAGATTGGTGTTCTCTTCGGAAAGGATGCCAATCGTTTCTTCGCCGGCGGAAAGCTGCCTAGCAAGACGTTCGATTCTTGTGAGAATGTCAGATGAGTCCTTAAGCTCGACCTGTGTCACATCCTCAATCAAAGATTCGTCCGTAGCCTGGCGGAAAACAAATCTGCACGGTAAGATAGCCGCCATGTAACAGCTAATTAAAATAATCACACATGCTAAAAGACAATTTTTCCTCTAGAAATGCTGTGTCTGTGATATAAAAATAGCGTGGATATTTCATGTCATGTATTTAGAGAAAGATTCCCTTCTATTTCCATTCAGGTCTTCAAAGTGATAAGGCACACTTTTACTATGTGTCTTATTTCCTTCAAATGAGGTGCCTTGTTTCCTTACGATGCGAGGATAGAAGGCTCTACAAAAAACACTAAACAACTTATGAAGCATAAAATGTCGGAAAGTTTTAAAACTAAACATAATATAACGAACATTGGAAATTTTTACTGAAAACTGATTACAGATCAAAGTATAGCCTAGTAAGCCAATATTTTGTATAAAGTGTTGTTTTCGACTTTTGCATTTTTTTTCTCTGCCTAGCATACGAAGGTAGTTTTAGGACACTGAGAAGCTATGCTTATCGAGCAGTGCCCTAGTCCTTCCTCTCGATGTGACCACACCTCGTGATTCCTACGCTTGGAATAACAGAGAGCTAGCGACTCTCCCCACTCTTAGTGAAAGATTGGTCTAATAAACTGAATGTTCGACATCATTCTGTTTGTTAGAAACTAAAGTCGGAACGAAATCATCAGAAATTAAAAGCAGAAACATACAAGTCTTAGCATGACAAATGTATTGATAATATGTCAAATACGGGAGTGAATGCTCAACACTGCAGCCGAATAAGCATGTTAGTTTCGTATGAATAAGCATGTTAGCTAAAATTTTATATAATGAGTTAATAATTCAAGTACAAAAAATATCAAAAACTGTGAAAACACAACGCTTTGAGCATGCACTCATTATCAACTGACTAGAAAAGAAACAAGGCGAGCAAAGCGAATGCAAGATTAGAAAAATAGGAACGAATGCGCTAGTCGTATCTTTGCTCGCCATGTTCCAAGTCAAGTCAAATGACAACGAGGACACAGGGCTTACACCTGAAAGTGGGAGGAAGGAGGCTAACAAAATTGGGGGGACCAAGGCTTTTTGAACCTTTCATTGCAGCTTTGAAATTATTTTCTTTGCAAAAAAGTGGGGAGGGGGCATGGCCCTGGGACATGCTCGAAACGTCATATTTTTCATTGTGTTATCAATTTTTGGTGTTTCAGGCGAATGCTACAATTAGAAATAAGCAGATATTCCCAGCTTATATAAACGACAGGTCTTGGTGACGCAAGCTCTATAACGTCCTACCTGGCTAGAACTTTGAAGCTGTCTGTGTAGATCTTTAATGATCAAAATCTTCTCTTCGCATTCTTTTTTATAATTATCCCGTTCAAAGGTTACTTGGTTTAGTCTATCCATATCTTTCGATTCCATTTTTCTCATCATCTCATTCTACAAAATAACATAAACGCTTACAAACGAACTCAAATTATAAGCATCAAATTATTATGAGGCATCGATTCACCCTAGAATAGTCTGGTATTGGTACATGCACAAGTATCGAAAAATTCACGTAGGTACGCTTGACAAGACACCAACATACATGACATACATAGAGAAATTCTAATAGATGCGCTTCATTCTACGAAAATACTTAAAGAATCGTCGAAAATGAATAACGACCCTCATCTTGGACATCCATGTAGCCAACGTTGTAAAATTGAACATATATATCATTTCATTTTATCTTGATATTTGTGAAGATACCTTCAAAAGCTTTCTGAAATTCTGGAATGATAATATATAAAAATTTAAAAACCCTTTTTGCAATACTTCAGCTTTGCATTGGCAGAACTGTACATAATTTCTGTACAAAACAGAACAGTTATAAGTTACTATTCCCAGTTTCACGCCAGTCTCTTTCTAAGTTAATATTCCTCGTTAATTTGATTGTAACCGAACAGTTCCCCACTGATCAGATTATAAGCATGAAGCTGATTATAAGTAGCAACTTAGACCCACCCTCTTTTACACACTTAAGCGTGCATATAATACTTAAAGTGCCTGTGACATGATTTTTTTATTCTCTTGATTGAAGCGTTGCACTGCTCTTATAGTAGATCTGGACTTTTTTTGAAATAAAAGCATTTTGATATTGAAATTAAGCAAAATAGTGCGGCCTAGCCAAGTCGCTTTATCATCATTCGCCGTTCGCTTGTGACGTCATTGGAGGAACTCGTTATTGTAACAATGTAAGCGCTACCTTCAAAAATCTCATCCTCGCTGCCACTACTTTCTCTGGAAATATCGCTCATCTTGGACCTGTTAGATTTCCCTCATTGACTACGATACAAAAACTCGAAGGAGGAGGCGATCGGGTCCCTCCCGTGACGTCACTGTCTACTCATTCTGAAAAACAAGATGGCGAATTTTGGCGCAGAAGATCGCCAATAACTCCTTCATTTCTCACGAAACGTAAAAACTAACCTCAGAAATGAAAATAACAGGCCTTTTTACATAAGAATAGATATATAAACCCAAAAGTACGAAAATCATGTCACAGGCACTTTAAGCAAAAATTTATAGCATAAAAACACAGAATAGGGTATAGGCAGAACGGTAACTCTCGTCGGTTCCTTTGTTGTTTTTGAAGCCTGAGTCAACAATAAAATTTCTTAATTTCCCTTTAACCTCGATTTCATTAGACGCACTTAGCAATGACAAATTATCATTCATTAATCAGATATAAACGAATTATGATACATAATTGAATTTGTTCACTATCATGGGGCATTTCGTCTCAAATAAAATTGTATACTTTCATTCTTTTTAAAATTTCCCCGACACATGCATGCTAAGCCTCGTATAAGTTAACGCATGCGCTAGTTTTTTCAGGCTTCACCTGATAGGCAGGAGTTCCCTTCTGCCTAATTCCTATTCTGTGATAAAAGATTTAACAAATGTGATGATTACGGTGCGTTTCAGGTGTCCCAGTTCTTCCAGGTCTTCAGAATGCTTCTTCTGTTGTTCCTGTAGTAAAGAGATGGATATGACCTGAGGCTGTGGTAAACCCTAAAAGGTTTGAGTATTCATCCGAGAAACTCTAACTCTATGGAATAGACTGAAACATCTAAAAACAAAGCGACTGGCCTAAATGAACTATATCGTTATCGGAAAAGTTATAGCAACAACTGGCCAATGTGCCATTTGGTACCACAGTGGTTACATTTTTCTGAAATTTCTAGCCTTCTATACGTATTCATTCCTTGACAAATATTTTCAATCCTAATCTCAGTCAGCAGTGTGGAATGTAAATGCAGAGCTGGGCAATCTTCTTGGAATATTTTCGCGAGCATTTTCATCATGTTAGAAAACATCTTAAAGATCCTCGAGAAAAAAACTATTTTTCGCATTTTTCAACTGAAAACTACCCAAAAAATTGAAAATAAACCAAATCTTTTCCGATTTTTGAATACAGGAACAAAAAAATAACGAACAAGTATCAAATTTACCTTTAGACTTTCTTCTAGCTCATTCTTTGCCTTCCCCATTTCAGCAATGATACTTTTTTCATGTTCAATTTGATCCTTCAGATTTTGAATTGCTAGCTCAATTGACGCAGGCTCTTGGTCATTAGCCTATATTGAGATAAAATGAACATTAAAACCACTACAACTGACAATATAATGAGAATAATATATTTGTTCTGCCTAGGAAATCCTCGTCAGTTTATTTTATTGACAACAGACATTTTATAACCATTCAAGGAAAGGATGGTAATTGATGATGGTACACTGAGCTGGTGATTCTTAAAGACTCGTGGCTAACAATGGGCCTTTGCAAGCGTGGCGACGATCTAAACAATGGCAGTAAACTTCTAGGGATTAACCAAAATTGATTTCAGGCTGTTTAAAAATGCATTATGGGATGCTTGCGTAGCGCAATGGCTCATTGTTAGCAATGAGTCTTTAAACAAAGCGCATAGGACACACCATTTTCCAATGAAGTCTTTTGCATTTTCAAACGCATTTTGTTTTGTTTGAAAGACAGTTTTTAGTTTAAGATTTGGTAAGGGCCCTTCGTAACCGGGTGTCCAAGTAGGGCCAAAGATTCTTTTTGACCTGGGCCTATGTTTACTTGCCAGGTCAAGGGTAAAAAAATTCGGGCTCATTTCGAGTCTAATGATATTGAATTGTTGGGTCAACTTGAAAATTTTTACAATTTCTTAGATCTAGACAAACGGCTTTGGTTTTGGTCTATGTGAACTTGGTCAACCAATTTGCTGCGTTGTTTCTGTTGTTGTTGCTGCCCATTTATACAGAATAACTTTATCAAGATTGGGATAGGATGATTGCACTAAATAGAATAGGCATTGTGGATTTAACAATCCCTAATTTGTTACGGAATTACATTACAAATACATTTTATAAGGATCGCGATCCTGATCAACATGCTTGCCCTGGTTCACTCTATCTAAATGAGTTCAAGAAATAAAACAATTGCCACCCTTGTTGATTTGATGGGCAACAGCCTGAACTTTTCATCGTGCTATGATACAACCCTATTCCAAAAATGCTAAATATGAGGCTGCTACAAGATGCTTTTTGCAATGCTCTTGCCAAATAATACAGCCTTAATGTGATTGCGTTGCTCTATTCTATCTACTTTGCCTTAGTATCAGTAGTAACAAATAATATTAACAAAGAGGATCAGTATTTTCTCAAGTTGGAATAGCTTTACACAATATACTGACTTGAGGCATTAATCTTACTTTTAGGGCTCACCTTTTCTTCAGGAGGAGAGCCTTTAGTAAGCTGCAAGCATACATCATTGAGGCTGCTGATTTTTTTCTTCAAACATTCATTTTCCTCACACAAAGACATAACTTTTTCATTGGCCTTTATCAAATCCTGGTTAAGATTTTCAATCGTTTTGGTTTGTTCAGGAGATGCAATCTGCATAATTTCAACGGATGGTTCAAATTCTAGCTGTTCAATCCTTTGCTGTTGAAACTTAATCTTTTTCTTCATCATTTCGCTACTCGAACGAAGTTCTGAACTCTCTGCTTTTATATTCTCCATTTCCTTTTCTAGCAAATGAAGTTTTTCTGTATTTTCCTTATGCTCCAACAATTCTTCCTTCAGCTGGCTAATTTTTCCCTTCAAATTTTCACAATCTACATTTTGTTCAATAGATATTGGTGCGTTGAAAGTTCCATCTTTTAAGGACATCAAAAATGAATCTAGCAAACTCCTATGAGTTTCTTGGACTGGAGTTTTCAGAACAAGGTCCTTCAAAAACAAAAATTAAATACATATTTGAATAAGTATCTAAAAATTCAGGGATACATATAAATATTTATTAAAGAAAAATATAAGAGTGAAAGGACTGGAAATTTTGGTTTTCTAGCACGAAAAACTACAAAGATTGAAGCAAGAGAGTATCCTGGCAGTGTAAAATACACTAGATAAATAGATGTACTCTAGAGATAAATACACTAGATATTGATTGGGATAAAACATTGGGAATATAACAGTGAAATGTTTTGTTTCAAACGTCATAGCAGCTCTGACCCATTTACATGTGGGTCTAAGCAAACCAAATCCCCATAATCTTACATAGATATCATTTTAAAGACACAATTGAATCGATGTGCTCTAGAAATGATGGCGTTGAGGATACGAAGCATTACTTGCTGCCCTGCCACATATATCATGCTCAAAGACATGGTCTTCTCAACATTGTCAATGCATTATAACATAAACACGGCCTATCAACGATTACAATGAAATGCTTGTTGATTATTTGTTGTATATCAATGAAAAGATTACCAATAGCTGTTAATAGAAAAATAATCAAGTTAATCCAGAGATATGCTTTCTTCATAACAGCACTTCCAGTAAATTGCTGCTACCATCCCTTCTCGAAGACAGTGTCTAACATGTTTTTTAGTGTTCTGAAATTTCCAAAAAAGTTGCTGGGTGTATATAAACGTGCTTCAGTTGGTGTTATTAACCCTGTTCACACCTTTGGCGCACAAAATATCAGTTGGTTGTAACAACACCAACAGCCTTTAGACTTATCCGGCCCTTTCCTTTTTATGGCTTGTTTTTAGAGTGTTCAATCTTTTAGAAACAATGGCAAACAGAATGATTCCCTGCCATTGACCTTTATGCTTGGTCCTCATTGGCAACACATGTACAAAGGCAAGAGTAAATGACCTATTAACCAATGAACACAAGCATTAAGCATAATCACACAAAAAATTAAAACCTTGTGTTGTTCTTACAACTGTGCTTATACTGCTTTGTTCCTGTGAATGATTTCAAGCACAAGCTCAAGTGATCTAGAAAATCAAGCTAGGCCTCATGCCGTGTCTAGCAGAGGGGAAGACAGAGAGGAAGACAGAGGAGAAGACAGAGGGGAAGACAGAGGGGAAGACAGAGGGGAAGACAGAGGGGAAGACAGAGGGGAAGACAGAGGGAAAGAAAATAGCCAAGAAGCTTGGTTGTTCAGAAGGAAGGAAAAGAGGAAGGAAAGGAGGAAGGAAAAGAGGAAGGAAAAAAGGAAGGAAAAGAGGAAGAAAAAGAGGAAGGAAAGAAAGAAACAAGAAAAGAGGGCCAGAAGAAGGAAAGGCACAGGGAGAAGAGGAAAGGGGAGAGAAGAGAAGAAAAGAGAAAGTGGAAAAAAGTAAAGAAAGAAGATCCAATGTTTCTGTTATTTTGTGTAATCTTCAAAACTTTAACTAGCAATATTTGAGAGAAAATGTGTCAATTGCAAAAACTATTTCTCCAAAATTTAGGTAGATGTTTCTGGTTATAATAAAAATCAACACAGATAAGATGCAAATTAACGAAGTATCTCAACCTTTCCTGAATTCTTGGATTCCTCATTTCTTTTTGCTAAATCTTGTAGACAATTAGCCAATTCAGAATGCATCAAATCAGATCCTGAATGCTTTTTTTTCAAAACATCATTTTCATCTCTGAGTCTTTTTATCAATTCTGCTGTTGCATCCTTTTCTTTCACATAATTTCTCCTTAGATCAACTAGATCTTTGCAGTAAGCCTAAAAATAAAACAACATTGTCTTGACAAGAAAGTTTACATAAGATATAATCTTGTAAAAAAGGCATTCAATTAGTTGCTCAAGTCACAAACACACTAAGGCATCAAGATTAAAGGCAATATGTCCAATTGAGTGTCAATGCCAAATTTCCACTGACAGGGCCATCAAGAACCAATGTTTGGGCCCTACCTGCCCAAAGCAGTCAACCAAAAATGTGTTAAATAAGGATTAACTTATATTCCTAAAACATTACATTTTTCCAGGGCAGATACAATTTAAAGTTACTATGTTATTAAAAGTCATGTTTTACAGGGACAGTTTAGTTACCAGGGGGCAATCACCATCTTTGTTTATTGGCCCAGAGGGCAATTGCCCCCTTTGAAGGGCCTACCAAGTGGATTGATGGAATATCATATTCCAAGGAGGGCCCGTCTCTATAAGGAAACAGTGCTGAACAAAACAAAAACAGCAAGAAAGAAACAAAGGAAATGATACATAAAAGTCAAGCTTGTAACAGGTGCAATTTTTGGAGGAATTTAGAACACTTTTATCTACTCATTGCTTTTCTGATTTGCAGTTGTCGAAGTAAAAATGTGTTAATCAGATGCTTTTATCTTACAAGTTCCAAAATGTATTGCTAGTGTAAACCAACCACTGAATGTGGGTAGTTCCTGTATTAATACATTCATTACACACAGCAGCGAATTGTTTAAGCTTAGTATGCTTGGATAAATGAGTTATAATAAAATGCCATCCAAGGACCAATCAAGCCTGGTTGCCTTATGATCACAAAGCACGGTTCCCACATGGGTAACATCAGTGGCGTAGCCAGGGTTGGAAGATTGGAGGAGTTTGTTTTCTCTCTTGGACTCCAGTGGTAATTTTTCTTTAGCCTCGCGGCACTGATTGGTCAACTATACTGGTCTTGTGCTTGTGTTTTTCTGATTGGCCTATTTCGATCCACAACTAGGTATATATTTTTCATCGTGTTCTTTCGGACCCTGACTCTGACGTTTTATGCTCTGAGAAGTGTCCGACGAAAAAACTTTTAGTATGTTGTAGAATGTTTACTTTTTTTAAAACCAATTTTCAATTTTGTACCGCAAAAAATATATTTTGTATGGTACACAATATTTTGTTATGTGCCTGTAGTTCACATGCCTCCAAACTTTTAAACGTGTTTTTGAAATTGGTGATTATGATTCTAAATATGAAAGTTGCAAAGAAGGAAAAAATAAATCAGGCAGTTGGCCCATATTTATTACCAACTGCTGTATCATTTAAACTGACACTGCAATTCTGTTCTATTTCCTGTAATAATTTTGGATACCAGAAATCTACTTGAATTACATTGCAAGTAAATACTGAATAAATTTTTGAATTCGAAAGAAAATCTGAATCAAATGATTAAAACTGTTCAGCCTCAACCATTGTTCAGTGAGAAGGCAGAATTACCTGTAGAAGTTGATTGTGCCTTGTCAGACTCTTTTTAACCGCTTCATTTTCATTGGCAAGGTTCCTTATGTTCTGGATTAATGCTTGTTCTTTCTCGTTTGGAACGGCTTGGAAATCAGAATCAACGCGATATGAAAATGAATTTTCTTTATTTGCCAAAGTCTTATGCTCGCTAGAAGTCTCCTCCATCTTTGACGACAACAAAGACGTATTAACAATCTGGGCAATTATATGATGTAGGAAGTGGCTTTTAGCTTGTTCAAGATCACATCTATCACAGGATAAACGTTAAAATATCTTAAAATAACTTTAAACATCAATTGGCACAATATAACGAGCTGGAGTTGTTTTCTGCGTGTCAACAGTGAGCGAGACTGGATTCGTCTCCAGTGGGCCTAAGTTGAACTTCTACGGAATCAAAAGATATCTGCTGATGTAAAGATCCTTTAAATTTGATTGGCAAAGCATCCAACAACCAAATCCTCAAATTCTTTTTACTTTTACAGTAATATAAGATTTTTCGATATTTCAGTTGATGTTTAAAGATGTTTATTTCCTGAGTTATGGAAACTCTCTTTCCACATACTATCAGTGGTGATTCCCAAGTTTCGGTTTCCAATGGGTTGTCACCTGGTTGCCACTTTCTTCTGGGGGATGTCCAAGTGGCCGTGGGACGTGGGAAGTTTTAGAACGGGCATTTGAGATTTGACCAAAGGAAGTATCGAAAACTTCAGTTTTTCGGTAATGAAAATTCCCTATAAGAGTATAATGTAGCTATTTCGTTACATTGCAGCATTCAGAGAATGCATTTACTTTTTGTGTGAATGAAGAAAAGGTCACTGTAGCAGGCTGCTATGCAGGCGTGCAACTACAGAAGGGGTCCTGGGGGTCTAGACCCCTGCCCTTTTTCTCAAAATGGGGAAGTGCCCTTTTTCTTGGAAAATTTGTTTGAATATTTTTGTTATAACGCTAAAAAGAATGGTCATAAAAGACACATTCTGGTCTGGCGATGTAATGGACCTCGCAGAAATACAGATAAATGATTCAGTCAGACTTTCACGTATTTGCTGGGTCGAACGTTATCATGTTGCAGTAATAGAGCCTATGTTGAAGCCTCAACTCTACGTGTGTTATGATGCAGTGGCGTGGTGGCAGGGGGGGCCAGGGGGGCCATGCCCCCCCTGAATAGGGGCGCAAATGGAGATAAGGGGGCGCCAAAATTTTTTGCTTGTAATATTTGGCTAGGAACATCAAAAGTGATCGTACACGGGTAGAACACTTCGCTATAACTTGCTGTGAACAATCTAAAATAACGTGAGATTCTACAATCGAAGCACGTTGCGCTGCCATGACCCAATCAACATTTGTTTCATATATTTTCGTGTTGTCTATGTAAGTGACTTCATGTTTAGCACGCCAACTAACGAATGCACTCTGGCAATCAATATAGCAGCTTCATGTTATTAACATCGATGTGACCATCACCCTTTCTTTCTTTATCCAACGCATGAATCCTGCCCTCCCAAATTTTTTCTAAAAATCAAAAATCAATGTTTTTTCTGAGCATCGTCAAACTGTCTATTCTGAGCGGTGTAGTAATTTGTTAAATTTTAGTCTGGGAGATGCATTTTTAGCCATTCTAGAAGGCTTGATTTCAAAAATTTTCTTCCGCGTCGGACCCAGCCATGGTGGGTCCTCCTTTATCACTAAACTTGATCCTTAGCCCAACCCCAGATTCAATTTTGTGCCCGCCGCCTCTGTCCGATTCAATAGTGCGATTCAACGCTTAAAACTTTCCAAGTTGTTGAAAAACTACTATTTAATAACTACTAAAGAAAACAAACTTGAACCATGTTTGTATATCATACATCATATATGCGATGACACTAGGCTGATAAAATCGACCATAAGCAGTGTCGAAATGGACAAAGGTAACCTTTACTTAAAAAAACTAAAGAGCCCGAAACAATAATTTGCTCTACGTTATTTTACTCTGAAGCTTGTATTCTGGATATAATAAACGAATAGCCTGTATGAAACATCAGTGTAATTGAATAAAATGTCTTTTGATTAGTATTTTATGTTTTGCCTACCGTATTTCCTTGAAAATAGGCCGACTTTAGAAAATAAGCCAATTCAAAATAGCTTGATATTTTACCGAACCACGAGAAGGTCAAATGTTAGGATTACATAACTTTTCCATTCATATTCGCATTTTTAGTCAAACCTTATTTATGTAATTTTGGATTCAAATTGCAAAAATCGATTTCCCTTCTAGAAACACATGCTTTATATAACCACGATATTCTGTGACGATATATAGATAGGGCGCAAAAATCGACTTGGCCACCCCAGGGAAAACATAGCCACCCCGCCACTGTTATGATGTTCTATTCTCTATTAATTATCTTCGAAATCCTGTTGTCTGTAAGCATTGGTTTGAAGAAGAATGGTTCTGGGACTCAAAACCTCTACGACCAATTGTAAAAAAGCTACAAGAAAGAAACCAACACATCTTTCAAGCCTGTCCCATGGTCCAAAAAATTTACAGGATCATAGAGCACTTTTGCATGGAACAAGCAATTGTAGAGGAACTTTCGCGGACTGGTATTAGCAAGCAGTGAAGACGGCACAATAAGTTGATGTTCAACTGGTCCATTCCTTGTCAGTATTACAACTGAGCTGAAGTCACGACTTGCAGACAGAAACCAGCTGAACCCAAAGGCCGTGGACCTGCTCAACCTCCTCCCATCTGTAATGCGAAGCAAAGAATTCAATGTTCTTAAGGCCGTTCACATTTAAAGAGCAAATTGTCTTCGGATATGGAAGATGACGGGCTGCTTTTCAAAAGTGAGCTGGCACTGGGAAAAGGAGATGACAGCAGGGTCGCCGAGAGAGGGTAAATTTACAGGTTTAGGGGACATCATAAAGCAATGAACTCCGCTTTAACATGGAATTAATTATAGAATTAAAAAAATGCACTTAAAAAAGTAAGCCGTTATGAACGAATGAATAAATTTAGGCTATTCGTAAAGGCGTGGTCATATATTGTTTTTGCTCGCTTTGCTCACAAGAGGCCTCGTCTTTTCAGTTCCCCCCTCGAGCCTCCAAAACCTCTCGGCGGCCCTGGATGGCAGACAGAAAGGGAAAGTCCGCTGAGATTGGAGAAACTAGACGAAGCCATGTAGATACTTAACATGGAAAGGAATGAAATATAGACTCATGCACCACAATACTTCTCTATTGATCAGTTTTCTTTGTCTGGCGTACAATATTTACAGGTTCGCTAACTACTCACATTTCCTACGTATCTAAACAAATGCCCCGGTGAACCTTCGGTGTGCATGAAGTGCACCCTAGCGTATCTTCTGTTTCTAAACATGAAAGTATAAACCAGGCCATAAGTGAATAAAGTTTTCTTAGTGCCCTTTTTGTGTCTTGGACCCCTGCCCTCTGAAATTCCTGGTTGCGCGCCTGATACGAAACACCGCAATACGCCGAGAATAAACAACAATCAATATACTTAAATCAGTAAAGGCTGATATAGAGTACCGAAGTGATGACGTCATAAAAATTTATTTTTAGATTTTCTAAATTTTGATCCCAGAACCTAAATGAGCATCATGAAATACCTCTAAATATGCAAAATTAATTAAAATCATTACGAATTGGCTGAGATATGGCCACATAAGGACAGGCTCTTGCCCCATCAAACCTCTGTAATTTGGTCTTGGTTCATAACTTTATGTACCCTGGGTACCAGAGCCGCAAAAATTAAATATTATTTTTTAATTTTTGCGGCTCTGGTACCCAGGGTAAACTTTATGAACCAGACCAGAATAACAGAAATCCGTTAGCAAACTTTAAATCTTTCATTTGCCATATCTCGCCCAATTTCTCGCACCCTGAGAGGTAATTTATGTCGTTCTTTCAGATTATGCGGTCAAATTTATAAAATTCTGTAAATAGATATTTGATGACGTCACACTTTGGTACTCTTTTTTGCCCCGGCATACGGGGCTTCATCAGAGCAAAAGTTAACGGGATTGGCTGATGTGGAATGGTGTGAATGCAGCGCAGTGGTAGAGGAGGGAAGGGTGGCGAATGAGAGAGGGTGGGTGGTGGTGGTGGAATGAAAACGTAATGGGGATGACGTAACATCAATCTGTAACACCATTACTGAAACTCAACGACGAGCCAAAGAGCAATACTTCATTGGCCTGGCAAACACTCTCACACCGAACGGCATGAACAGAACCACTGACCGTTAACCTTACAGCAACATTATCATTATTTCATACTATAGTACTTCATCCCCAAGGAAATAACACAAAAGCATAACTAAGCATAACATGTTACTAATAATAGACTACGAGATAATTCTAGAAACAGACGATTACGCAAAATGATGTAATCCTAATGAGGGATAATCCTACAACAATATAATTCGAGACACAAGGGGGATTTCCTAACAATCTACGTAATAAACGAAATAGCTACGTACACATTAACATCAATTCATAAATTTAGGTGCAATCTAAGGCCACTCACTAAATTTCACATCGATATTCGAAAGAAAAGTGAACGAAATCAATCCTTACTTTTACCAAATTTATAAGGGCTCAGTATGGAGCAAGTTCCTTTTTGCCACTATTCAAAATGGCGGAAGTAAACAAATTTGCCTCACAGCGTTCCTGTGAGTTAGACATCTAGCGCCTTCGGCGCTTCTATATCATTGCCTTTTGTGAGGTTAGTTTTCATTATCTTTCCAAAATATTTTGCAGGTATCTAGAACATTCAGTAACGAGGTCTACAATTGGTTTATGCTTATAGTGGAGATTCCCATTTGACTGTATACAACACATTAATGGCTGTTTAAGAGAAGAGATAACACGAGCCTCAAAATTGGTCAAAATATAAGAACAATTTAAGAACAAGCTGAGGCTGAGCTTCTGTAAAATGCAATTTTGAACAACGTTTTTTCTCAAAATCGAGGATTTTTAGCGATGAGTGTGTGCTTTTTCGTCGAATATTGAAACTTTTCGGCAAATGAAGGTTGTCTCACTCACTTTATTGGCAAATGAGGCCTGAACACCTCCCTAGAGCGAAGAATATTTTTATTTTGCCTGTCTAAAGTATCTCATCAATCAGCAAATCATATTGATGGATTTTCAGGTGATTCGTATTTCTTGGTTTTTCAAAATTCATTTGTTTCCTAGTTTTTGCCTCGAGTATTCTAAACTTTTTAAACAGCCCAGTACTCGTTTCTTATAGCAAACTTTTGAAAAAAATGAGTGTATTGAAAATGGAAGATATAGGAAAATTTCCATACCAAAAGTAAACATCAATTTTTTGGCTTGCAATTCTCCAATTTATGTCGAGGGTTAATTCAATTTTTAAGACATAAAAAATAGCCAGCTTCTTGTATTTGAGAATTATTTCCTTTATCGAGCAATTCTGTCATTTTGTTTAACTGAAAATTAATTCGTTTGATATTCTATTGATTCTTACGATCCCTAACTTACGATTGATGTGACAAATTCACCAATCAAATCTTTAAGGCCTAATAGTCTAAAAATGGCTTTGCTTACAGCTGTTATGAAAC